GGGGGGGGATAAAGGGGCTGGTAAGTATTACATTATCATGATGATTCTTACATTATGTTTCCTTCCCCCACTAAGGCTGCAAGATGAGCCATGCACGCTCGTGAATTTTTTAAGATATTTAATTTGAGTAATCCGTTCTTTAAATGACCTTTCTAGTCTTTTGCTCGAATTAGATTAGTTAATGGCCTATACAATGATTTATTTTCAGTAGAAGAAGTACTACTATTATTATTATTCACAAAAGGGGAAAATTTTCTTTTCATACCCTGGTGATGATAACCAAAAAGCTGAAAAGTAGAATCAAGTATGATCCCACAACAAGCAGCAAAACCAAGTCGAAAGTCACGCTTGCAACCTGCAGCAAACAATTATAATCATAACTGATTATTTTATAAATTTAAAGGAAGTTTGATTCACTCATTCCAGGTGCCATGCTCAATAGAGATATATAATACATTTCAAGTACTGGTTGTGTGGTGCTAACGTAATGCAGGCATTGGTTGATGGATTAGAAGTGAATTAACCTATAAACTAGGACCATTTTATATGGCTATCCTGCCAGCGCGAAAGTTAATCTAACATAAAAAAAATAAAAAAATAAAAAAAAAAAAAAAAAAGTGAAAGTTTTCTTAACCTGAAAGAACATGATAATTCAGTATACCCTTATATAAACAATCAATTAGGGTAGGACTGACTGTAAACGAGAGTAATATTAGACAAGGTAAACTTCAAAGGGGGAGAGATTGTTAAACACTATTTTGCTGCATTAATGCATGTTTTTTGTCTGTGAGTGAGACTGTTAAGGAAACGAATTTGGATAGGCACCTGATAGATATGTAGCTTGCCGCTAATTGAATCATAAAAAGTGAACACCCCATCTAATGGTTCCTGCTGTACAATCACTTCAATAGTGTGATCCGATAATTCCTGAGGAAAAATAAGAGTTAAAATCGTGATCAGAAGACAAACTATCACGGTAAGGATTAAAAATAAAAGGACGTGAAGTCTTACAAATCATACCTTTTTAAATGCCACAATAAGAGGATCATCTTTTGATAGAAATGGAGCCACTCGAGGTGTTGTTGACAAAAACTCTACCCATGAACGTATATGAGAAGGATTTATGGATAAACTACTATGATCTGCAAAAATATCAACATTTTTTCCCTGCTGACCATAGATTTGTCTCTGGATATACCATAAAAAAATGTAAGAACCCTTCTAAATTTCATCTATACCCAACAGAATCAGAGCAAAAGAAATTTAAAGACAATATCTTACTGCAAGACTTTCAGCAACTATTTTGACACTTCGAATTATCGAAACTTCATTGATGAAATTTCTGTGGAGATGCCAAAGGTCTCAAATTAAAACTTCATTCAAGAAAAAGAAAATAAATTTTGATATCCAAAAGACAAGGTACTACCAGTTTAAGTCATACCTGTTATCTGATAAGCTGCCAGTGCTCTCCAGGAAATCGGGCGCAACAGAGAGTTTAGAGAGAGTTGCCGCCGTGACTCTCAGCCTTGAAAATTGCTCGTGCTCCCATGCCACCTAGAACAAGTTAAAAGAATAATCAAAATGGCCACAGAAGCTGATGAAAATGATGAAGAAAATAAGAAACAGAGATTAGGATCACATACAAACCATAATACAGATAAAAGAAGAGATTTCCTTGTATTGATCTCTTAGGACAACATAGTTTCTGTGATACAGAGCAAACATTCGTTCTCACGTATAAAAATAATGAGCCTTAGCTTACACCTATCATCTAAACAGAAGAAGTATGAAACTTAGCTTACATGGGATTGACCACCTCAAAGAGAAGTTAAAAGCTACGCTGTACGATCATGAATCCTTGTAGATTTTTTAGGAAGTAGAGCTGTTTTCTACTTTTCAAGAGAGTATCATTGGAAAAACATACGATTTCAAGACTTAGAAATTATAAAAGTAAAATGAACTTACTCGAGTATTAGAGATGTTGATCTTCTTGTGCTTCAGTCCAACTTTTAGCCCCAATTCTTCCGACACGCTAGAGAAACCCTGCAGGGACACAAGTAAACAAGACATAAATCATTGGAAGTACAGGATAACTACAAACGCTGTCCCTTAGAATTGGTTTTTTT